CTGCCGCCCCGTGGCGGACACGGGCTGGAATCTCTGCAGGCTTCACGCCCGCCCAGGCCGGGATGTCGGAGATGGCTGTGAAGTCACCCTCATGGACGCTTAAGGCGATGAGAAGCACAGTCCGGGTCCAGGCTATGGGGGCCCGGGGAAGATGGTTCAAAGCAGGTGCCCCTCGTGCCTCCATGAGGTCGAGCGTGAAATGTAGCCCAGAGATGTTCCACTCAGATGCCAGCGCCACGAAGGGCTTCATGAGGAACGTCATGTGCTGCATGAGCCTTGGGGGGCTGGGGCGGTTTTTACATTGTTTCCTGCAGCCTTCTGTGCCAGAAGCCGGGAGCAGCCGCCCAAACACACCTCGCAAGCCCAAACGCCCAAAACGTCTTGGCCCAAGAAAGCTACTCTTGTTTGCATGATGCAATCAAAGCCACCTTCTGAGGTCTCCCTTCTGCACCCTGTGACTCCCTACAAAGCCTTCACTTTGTTCTTGCGGCGGGCCCGAAGTTCAGCATCTGACAGCCCGACACCACTTGAAGCCAAGCCCATTTTTGCAGCAGCGTGGCCAGGACCCTGTGCTCGCAAGGGTCGGTCGAAGCCCAAGGGATGTGATCAGGCTGTCATCCTTAGCGGGGGGATGGGAGTTTAGGGTTTAAAATAACTTGGGCTTTGGGTTTGGGGCTAGGGTTCCTTAGCAGATTGCTGGAGTGTTCGGACATCGGGGTGTGGTTGTTCTCTTGCGGGGCTTGTTGGGTGGATTTGGGTTTCAGGAGGCAGCTGTCTGACACCATCAATACCCAAATGCTAGCCTAAGCCACAGGTGTTTCGTCCTATGCACTGAGCCCAAGATTTGGGCCGATCACATGCACCGTTTCTCTAACGTTGGCCATCCTCTTGGGACAGGCTTAAAGGGTCAGGTTCGGGTTTTGAGTCTTTCGGGGCCCCTCGCAGTCCAACACACGCATACTGAGGATGTAGGCCCAGGATCGCGGAAGCTTTGCCAGAACCATCACGAAACTTGCCCCCGGGCTCTGCAGGATTCATCTTGTCCCTCTCTGAAACAGCCTAAACAAATCTGAAGCCCGATTCCCCAATCCCGAAGCGGGCACCCTCCTCAAGCCCCACTTCAGGTTTGAAGTGCATCATCGGTTACCGACTCGTTGTCCCAGGCACTGGGATGGAGGCTTCGATGGACTTGGCATCCGTGATGAGAGCGCGGGTCATACCTGGTGTGCCACAGGCAAAGAGCGAAGAGAGAGAGCTGGCGCACAAGGTCCCAGAGCCGACCTAAACCTCGAAAGCCCTCCAGTCCAAACCTCTGGCAGGCTGCTCATGTCCACGAAGAGGGGTATCCGTGCGATTCGAGCCGACAGGCCTGGGGAGGTGGCTTGAACGCAGTACCAGGTCTTGGAAGCTTTCGATTGTGCTAGGGCCGCCGGGGCCTCACAGGAGAGTCCTCGTCCCAATTGGTCGGCAGGGAGCGAATGTTGACTCATCAAGCACGTTGATTGAGGGGCGATCGGTATATGAGAGTGCTATGGTACACCACCTGCGGCTAGTTGAGTCTGAACGATTTGTGCACAATCTCCGTGGAGCCCCTCCTCAATTCAGTCTTTTCGGAGCTGTAGGGCCACCCCGCCATTGCGAACCCACGCTTCCAGGCTGTAGCAAGACAAGAAGCTGGCGGACATCACGAAGAAGGACACGACGGCGGCAGGGCGGACTTTCTTGTAGAGGGCCTGGACTCTTCTGCCGAAAGAGTGGAGAAGTGAGAGCGCCCTTACGATGGAGGCAAGGCTGCCATCTCTCCCCTGGCGGCAGGAGCACTTGACTGCTCAAAGTTGATTTGTTGGAGGGTTCAGTGATGGAGATTCTTTCTGATTTGCGTGCCAGGTGCCAGGGAAGAGTCGATCTGCTCCTCGAGAACCTTTGGTGCCCAAACACGCTTTCTTTTTTTGGGGGAGGGGGGAATCGACGCGTCCACATCTTGTTTTTCTTTCAATCTTTTAATATTAATATTAAGAATAAGAAAAATCATAATTATGATTGTTATACGTTTAGATCCCTTTCATATGGCCTCCCGGGTCCAAGGTGAGGAGAGCGACTCGAACTGGTCGGCGGCGTAGAGGAGGGCGGTCTCAGCTACAGCGGGAAGAAAGAGGGCTGGGGAGAGGGTGAAGAAGTGCTGAGCTGCTGACATTTTGGCACAAGCAAAAGGAGAAAAAAAAAACTCTTACCAAAAAGGCCTTGCCATGCTGCAAGGCAGGGCATCAAGTAAGAGCCCCGGACAAGCGGCCTGCTCCTCCGTCCACTGCGGCATGAGGGCGTGATGTGGGAATCCTGGCACGTCAAGGTGCGAACATCTCAAAGGATCGCGTGCCATGCTGCAGGTCTCGAAAGACCCCAACTCCTCAGCCCCAGCTGCCCCTTAAGCCTTCTCCCCTAGGGCTGCGAAGAAACCACAGGTGTACCATGCCCCAAGGTTGGAAGCCTGAATCCTCGAGCAGCTTGATGTACGCGCCACCGAAAGATGCCAGGTGCACCTGTCCGTCGACATCTGCTTGTGATCAAGGGCAGCTGTGTTGTGTTCTGGTCATGTGTGTTGATGTCATGTGCTGAACTGAGAGGGTGGAAGCCCCAATGGTTCAGAGGACAACGAGTCTCTAGGGGTGCCCTCGGGACTTCGGGAGGCTGAGCCTCGAAGTACGGCTCTGCAGCATCAGCCACGAGCAGCGCGTGCGTCACCATAGCAGCGTTGACGCCTCTGCTGAGTTCTCGGTTCAGGGTTCAGCCACGGAACCATAGAGCCAATCTCACGAAGCCCAGGCTACCAACCGAGGAAAGCATCCGGGAAACAAGCCGGAGCAGACTTCAAGACTCGGCATGCGGCATGCGCAGCTTGTGGCTTGTATTTGGCATCACAAGACAAGCGCTTGAGGGACTTGGATGTAGGTTGCAAGGGCGAGCGAGGTCGTTTGAGGCCTCAAGAAGTTGAAGTTTGCTTAGTTTCCTTGTGGCTAAGATGCCGCATCGGAAATTCGAGATCCACACCGGGCCTTCGCAAAGCAGCAGCAGTGTCGGCCGCCCTGACACCTGAGAATTCTGGAGATTCTGGAGATCCTGCCCCCCCCCCCCCCCCCCCCCCCCCCCCCCCCCCCCCCAAAAAAAAAAAAAAAAAAACAAACCTCGGCCCTCGGACTCTTGGGACTCTTGGGACTCTTGGACTCTTGGGCTCTTGGGCTCAGTGGGGAGTGGCTTCTAAACACAAGTATAAAAGTGAAGCAAGAAAGACAGAATGCGACACAACCACAAAGCCCACAAAATCCACAACCGTGCCATTAACATATCGAGAGTACTCTCTTCACCTCTTTGTCCGGAGTGCTGGGCTCACCTGCGGCTCCACAGCGAAGGCGCGAGACGTGCGGACGTCCACCTCCTGAATAGGGGTCCCCCCCCCCCCCCCCCCCGGTGAGTTCTCGGCTTTTTTGGCTCTGATGAGCTCCTCAAGTAGACACAACTCTTCTGGATCTCAGGATTCGGGGGCTTCTTGGTCTAGGGGAAAACCCATTTCTCTCTTCCCAGCCTCTCCATACGGAAGCCTCCTTAAGAAGGCCCAATGCCCAAATACATTTAGCCTTAAAAGAAGACAAAACCCCTCAGAAGAAAACCCAATAAAGACACCAGTCCCCAGTCCCTGAACCCCTCGAAGATCAAGGCCCAGCGTCATGATGCTCCACTGCAGGAGTGAAGGGATCCACCAAGTAGCTGAACACCAGGCCCAAGAGGACCTGGGCTCTGGGAGCCCCAAAAAAGAAGTGGATAGAGAAACGGAGGATGAGGCAGTCGAAAGGGCGCGGGAGCTGAGTTGAGCTCGTCGGGGTCAGGGCTTCAGGCAGGCTCCCCGAGCCTTAAGGGCTCTCGCGCCAGACTCCCCATTTAAACAAAGCAGCCGCCCCCTCTGAAGCCATGACGTCGCGAGCACTGCTGCTATGTTGACGTCGTGACAACTCGAACAACCAAAGAATCTCTGTCTGAGAACTCACAGTGCTTTGCAGTCAACTTTTGATGAACTCAGTTGAATCCTGAGGATGCAACTTTTTAGTTTAGTCAGGGTTCAGGGTTGAAAAGGTCTGAGTAAGCAGGAACACAACCTTTCAGAGGAGTTCATTCAGCCTCTCTGACGACACTGACGACCACAAGCTGCGTCCCCAAACCCTTAACCCTAAACCCTAAACGAGGAGCCGCAAGAGCTAACGCCAGCAGCGCGCAGCAGCAGCGGCACGAGAACATGGCGCCACCACTCTGGAGTTGAAGGTCGAGAGGTCCTACTTGGAGGTTAGAAGTGTAGTTAGAACCCAATTATAAGAGTAGTTACAACACGCGCATAAGCCCCTTCAGTACCCTAATAGGGTTGTGATTGGGTTATCGTACAGGTAAAATTGGGTTACTAAGTACCATGAACCTCCAAGTACTGGTTTCAAGAGGTTCGGTCTTGCGGGGCCTTATGGAGCGGAGGTTGCTTTAGCGCTTGGACGGGTTTTACAGTAAACTCCAGAAGGGTTGGAACATGGTGAAAGGATGAGTAGAGCTGTGATTCCCCTTTAGTATACCTTTAGGGTATGGGGATAAGGATGTTCCAACTTTTTGGAGGTTACTGTAGGCGTCAGGCCTTGCATGGGCTCTTCTACATTCTGGGGTAGGTTTCGGGTTGGGGGCGCGCCTTCTGTGGTCGTCAAACCAGATGCGTGTCTTGAGCCGAGCACTGAGTGCGAAGTCTGAGAGCTTGGCTGAAGCGGCCTAGTCCGACGCCCTGCTCCTCAAATCAGAGGCCCTTCTAACAAGGTCGGGTCTGTACCTTCCCGCCTCCCATGCTGGTGTCTCACGGTGACTGCACTACAAAACTTTCTCACAAAGGTAGAGCACATCTGACATTGATGACTTGACCTCAGGTGCAGGATGTGGAGCCCCTTGCCCTCTTCTTTAACGACCAGCGGAAGGCTCCAGGCCTGACTGGCCCGCTGACCACCTCGCTGGGGGTTGAGATTGACAGGGTGAAAGCCGTTTTTGCAGGAGTTTGATTATCAAACTGGTGCTGGTGAGAACTTGTTTCTGCGCCTCTGAGTAGTATGTTTTTAAATTCATCTATCTATTTGCTTTCATATTTTGGGGGTGGCCTGACTTCAAGTCGTTCAGGCCTTGCGTCTTTTGCATTTCTTGGCTTTTGAGCTTTGGGACAGTTTCTAGGGCGGGGGCAGTTCTGGCTCTGCGGGGTCTGGAGGAAATAAAGTGGCTCTTCCTCTAGAAGTACTGTGGGGCAGGACGACCGTTCGAGCCACTCGGTTCAACAAGAATCTTACGCTGCTTTTCGAAGGCACTCCTAGCAGTCTGGGCCGAACATCAGACTCTGCTCCTGGATCGTCTAGGCCCGGCAGGTGGTTCAAAACAACCCTAATGTGCAGAGGGAAAGAGGTTGCTAGGTAAAGAACCATGGAAACTGCGGGTTTCCAAATGGTTGTATCCAGAGGAACTACAGGCAGTTCTCTGCTTGACACATTCAGGAAGCGGACGTTTTCGATGGAGCAAGCAGAGGTTTTCCTTTTAAGATACGGAGTGCAAAGGTGTCCTAATACAATACAGTGGAAGCGTTCGGCTTTCCTTTTGGCATGTAGCTTCACAAACACCAACGACACACAGGTCTTCCTAAAAGGGTGAGTGTTCTAAGACAGGCAACTAAAGACTGTCGTGCCGTAAAGAGGTTTTCCTGTTAAGGCATCGAGAAAACGAAGGAGGAAATAGACCTTTCGAGGTCATCTACTTAATTTACCAGGCATCCAGTTCGCTTTCACGCAGCAAGAGTAAACCGAGCTCTGCCGGACTTCGCTGGCAAGAGTAGATGTCACTTTGTCCATGCGAGAGACCGTAAGACTCTGCACTGAACATGTGCCCTCTCAACGCCAACCTTGAACCCCAACTTCACTTACAGCCCTTGTATCCAAACTTCGCATGGATGCCGCCTGGTCCGAGACGATCGACAGCGTTGCCGCCGAGCTCTGTAGCCAGCAGCCTGTACGGAGTTTGCAAGGACTCGGCACAGAACTGGCACCTTGAACTCAGATCCCTGCGGTTTCCCTGCAGCAGTCTAGGAAGACACTTCGAGATTCGAGACGTGGGCATTTCTGGATTCATCAAGAAGGATAGATCAACGGATTACAGGAGGACCCGCCTAATTCAATCGGTCAACACCTCTCCTTACTACTCCTCCTCCTGTCCTCCCTTGACTGGTTTCGCTGCTTGTGGTGCTCTAGACCGGTCTAGACACTGGCAGAAATCAGATTCTACTGTGGTTGATGCAGTTTCAACTTCGAGCTTCGGGGGACTACGTTCTGCGTATGCCAGGCACGGACTCTCAATGCTGTTGGCCCTGAAGCCTCCCTGCTTGCAGTTGTTTCTGGTTTAGGCTTGGAGGTCTGGGTTTGTTGAGATTCAGGGTTCAGGGTTCACCCCAAACCCCAAACACACCCGCCTTGAGTGTTGTTGAACCTGGGATTGTGCGGCAGTTTCTTGAAAGTTCAGAGCCCGACAGGGGTCAAGACTTGACGGAGCGTGCGATTCTCGGTATCAGGCTTGGGCTTTGAAGGTGTCAGGAGAAACGATTGGGAGAGTCTAGGGCGGGGGCTTTAGGTCTAAGGTGTAGAGGGATTCTAAATTCAGGGTTTGGGGTTTGATGGCGAGCCTCATGAGCCCTCAACAACCTCCGACGCTCCTTAGGAAAAATGTCCAGTGTCTCCAAGACGATGCAGGAGGGCTCCTAAGTCCTGCAACCAACCGTCTCAAGCCGTACTTCTTTCATTCTGGTAGGATTATATATATATATATGTAGCCCGACAGGTTAGTTACAGGTTACCTACTCAGCTACTAAGTTGTTGAGTACTCTCAGGTTATGGGTTGGAGCTGTTTGGTCTTGCCAAACATGCCGTGGTCTCGCGTGGGTCGTGGCATTCACTTACACACATCTCAATCAGTGAGAGCTCTGCTTGAGCTCCCAGAACATCCCAGAACAATTGTCGTGCCGTGAGACCTGAATGCATGGTAACAGCACTTGAGCTAACTGATAGATCTGTGGAGCATCCCTATGAGAAAAAGCGTTGCCAGCGCTATTTCATTCGGAACATCCTGAATCACATTGAAAGTGTCATGGTGGGCCAGTCTGAAAGCAAGGCATCGCTGCAGCCGGGGAGCCATGTAAAGAATGCACAAACCTCCGTGCGCTTGCATTCTTCCTGCGAGAAAAAGCAAAGCTGACAAGCTCTAAATCAGGAACCCTCTCATATCGAGGCGTGAACCCCAAATTCCAATTGCTGAAGTGAAAGCGCGCTGTCTCAGACATCTGTGGTGCAACACGACGGAAACTCATTGCGGGCCGTTAGGTCGGGAGGGCGGGCGTTCTGAGGCTCCCTCCACGAACATAGGACTTCGCCGGGGCTTAGGTTCAGGGCTCATGGACATGTTCTTGGGCATTTGTCCTGGAGATCGTGCGTATGTTCCATGGATTTCCATAGTCAGCAACTTGGAGCAGTTCCTTCCAAAGCCCTTGCAACCAGACCTCAAAGCATCCAGCTTTGTGTCGTGCCATCCTCGTAGTGTGAGGCATCCCAATCATAGAGCCCCAAAGCAAGCAACTGAAAAATCTCGAAATCCACTAGCTGGAAATCTTGGTTCAAGAAGTCCAGCCTCTGCCTGGAGTTCTTCTCTCTTGGGCGCCCCCCCCCCCCCCCCCCCCCCCCCCCCCCCCCCCCCCCCCCCCCCCCCCCCGACGCTTTCGCAAAACGATGTGAGAAATATGAAGCTCATTAAGAACTCCCGGGTGCCTTAAGGGAGGTTTCTCTGAACATAGTTTTTTCCCCAGCTGTCTGAAAACCCCCCCCTGCCTGCCCGCCTATTCCTGCCCGCTCTCCCAAAACTCCCATGCCCCGCACCCCTCTATGACTTGAAATCACGCAAAAACTCTGAGATGTTTCTGATGCTTTCCCTCTGGCGTCCTGGCAGAGCTCGGCATTTGTCGTCAGTACCCGAATCGGCTGACCCCTAAGGCGCAAGTGCTGCTGAAGTGGAGTGTCGGGACTGTGAGTTTTAGGACCGGAAGGGTGAAGGATCGAACGCTTTCTAGAGCTTGGGGCTCAGGGTTTGGGTTTAAACGCAAACGGGGGATGCAAGGAGGGCAAATGCGGAGACATGACCATGGATCCGGGTCGACAGAATTCTCTATTCGCGAGATCTCCAGTGCCAGTTAGAAAAAGTCAGGTCACCTCGACATACCGACCTAGAGATTGTCGGATTTTGCTCTTGCTTCACTGCTTGCTCTTGCTCTGCAGGCTCGCGTCCCAGCCTGTCTACCATCTGCATCGACGGAGGTTCAGGACCGAAGCGCTACAGGTTCACGCAAGGTCGCGGGTTTCGGGCTGGGAGGGTGGTGAAGGTTATATATTTGTTAAATTTATTTATTAGATTTTAATTTGTTGTTTTTTTTGGGGGGGGGGGACCCCTAAATCCCGAAACCTGAAAACGGGTCAGAGTCGTTTCGTTATTTTCGGTCCTCGAGCTGTATCTCAGGAAGACGTGTGCATAGGCACTTGCACTTGCAACACGCATGCCACATTCGGTGCCAAAGGTGAATCAGGGGGCAGGGACCTCCAGTCAAGGACGCCACGCCGGCGACACAGATACTCTGAGCATTTGGTACAAGGCATCGCTGCTGCCAAGGGGCGATGTCTGGTTGTATCCTCCGAGGGGGCTGTTTCGTTGACGTTGGGGGCCCAGGATTCAGGGTGCTTTGGCGCGGGAGGCTGGCGTCTATGTCACAATCTCATGTGGTGCAGCTTTGGAAGACCCTTAGGGCCGTTTCGGCCAGTGCAAGGCGAGCCCGTGTTGAGTCATCCGCAGGATGCAGATGAGATTTTCCAACGTTTACGAGAAGTCTTGAACTTCAGGCATGGCTTGAGGTTAAAGTCCAAGAACTTGTAAGTAGTGGTCAGTAGTAGAAAGTAGTATGTAGTAGTGAGTAGAGTAGTAGTAAGTAGCACGTCCTCATCCCTAAAACGCACAGTGGTTACACCAAGAGTTTGGGACAGGACTGTGCTTAAGCCGAAAGGCAAGAGGAGCTTCACATAGCCCAACTCACCACGTGACAAGAAGGACTTGTTTGGGAAACCCTCCATTGAGCCTTAGAACGCCCCACTGTTGCACAAGGTAAGGCTAATGTTTGTAAATATCCTCTTGGGTTCATATAAACAAAAACAAAAGATAATTCCCAAGGGAGAGATAGAGTACTCATGATCCGGCGTGCATCTCTGAGTGAAGCGGGTCAAAAAGGGGGAGGTGTATCTGAGCCCCGAAAGCAGATTTAGGCGCCTTGGCCGTGCAGGAAGCAGCCTGCTGGGACTTCTGCAGCCCAGGATGCCTGGCTTGGAGTATGGAAGGCCTTCTTCTGAGGTTTTGGGGTTGCAAGGTGCCGGAACACAGCCTGCATTTTTGCCCGTGAATCATAAGGCTTTAAGGACCTCCCTAGTCGTTGGCCTTTCTAAACCGTACGCCAACTGCTGGGGGAGTCGACAGTCGCTTGTTTTCTCTCCCAGCGCCGCGCGTCGAGGAGCATCCCCATGGCCCGAACCTGGCTTGCTGTGACGGGGCTGGATGACTTTGGGAGCTTACCGTAGTACTTCTCAGAGAGGTTTAGATGCAACACCTTGGAATCAGGGGGGGAGGGAGGGGGGGGGGGGGTGGTGGGGTGCTGCAACAGCCCCCACAAGACCGCATCTCGGGCGTTCCTCGCAACCTTTGTGACACTGCCAAGGAATTATGAGCTCCGCACATGCATTTCCAGTATGTTTGTTGGCTCTTCAGGGAAGCGTCTGGAAGGCCCTGAGTGCTTAAACGTAGAACTCAAGCCATTCGTGAGAGCCTGGTGCCAAATGCCCGCAGATACACGAATCTCAGTGCTCAAGTCTACAACTGAAGTGGAGTGTTTATGAGGCTGTTTTCACAGGCTCACAGTTCAGTCAACACACTGACGAAAACATCCATGTGTCCTCACATTCTATGGAGGACCTCGGAGCGATCCAGCATGGAGAGCACCTCTCCGGAGAGCATTGCCACCTGTTTAGGCAGCAGTTGTAACTCAAGGCGTGCCTGTTGTTGGATTCGCAGTGCGACACCTTGGCCCCCCGACAAGTACCCAAAGAACAGCCGTACTTTCGAACACCAACCCAAAACCCTGAACCTTAAACCCTTGGCAACGATCTTCGAACCTTGCCTCACATGCGGAGGTCGCTGCAGCCAGTGTCAGCACCTTTGAAGCGGAAGCATGACGGTCCCCTCCCCCCTCCCCCGTCCCTCCCCCGTCCCTCCTCCGTCCCTCCTCCGTCCCTCCCCGTCACTCCTCCCTCCCCCTCCCTCCTCCCCCTCCCTCCTCCCACTCCTCCCTCCTCCTCCCTCCTCCCTCCCTCCTCCCTCCCTTCCCTCCTCCCTGAGTTGTGCCATGCGCAACGGCGTAGAATTGAGTGGAGGTACTCAAGTGGCTCATTGTGTACGGAACAAAAGGCTCGTGCTGTAACAGAATACGATAGGACATCAACGAAAGCGAGATCTCCCAGGGAAATACATTCAGTCTGACATTCAGTACAAGAGGTCAGTTTTCGAAAGACAGCAGAAAGCAACTAGACTTCTTTACCCCAGAGCATCATATTGCTGCTGAAGCCCACCTTGAAATGCACTTGCAGCCGCGGTGCATCTGTGTCTGCTGCGCGTGTTTCCAAGCGGTCGAAGAACCTGCCAGGGGTTTGCGGATTGTATCTCCAGTGCTGAACTCGTCGTCATAGTGACTCTGTGTATCTGCCTATAGGTCTGTTGCCAAAATGGACACCTCAAAGGAACGGAAAGCCCGTTACACTTCTGTGCCCTTTGCGAGACCGGACATGCGACGCTCGTCGATGTGTCTCGGCATGTTGCCCTGTACTACAGTGCCGTCCTCAATGCCTGTTAAAGCTCATGGACAACGTCAACGGGCCCTTCTGTCTTGGTCTTTCGGCAGAGCCGCCCCAACGCCAGCGGCCACTGCTCTGCTTTCTGGTAGGCGCTTATCCTGGGAAGAGGCTGTCGGCTCCCGGCTTGTTGGGCTGCAGAGGGGGTGCTGGGAAGTGACTCGCAAGTTCATGATGCATGGCAGGGACGACCCCCCTGGCTTCAAACCGAGCTCAGCACTGCGCAAAGCTCGGGCTTAGCCAGCTCCTTAAAGCTAAGTCGCCGACCTTGCGTCCCAACCCTTGAAATATGACCACGATGAAACCTAAGCCCGCCGAAGTCCCGAACTTCGCGATTCGGATTTTCTAGGTTCCTGCGAAAATTTTCGAAGCGAGTGGCACGGCGTTGCAGGTGATCAGGTTCGCCTCGCATGAGGGGGTTCCGGGAGGCTGGAGATGTCAATCTCAAAGTTTCGATAGGAAAGCTTGTAAGAGACCCTGCCACCTGTAGGGGCCCCACAGGGGAGATAAAGTAATCATGAATGCGTTGGCATCTTGGGGAATATCAGAGTCGGCCTTCTTGAAGGGGAGGGTCAGGGGGCGCTCTCCCTAAACCCTAAACCCTAAACCCTAAACCCCAAACCCCAAAAAACCCATGTGAGGGCCTTCTGGTCTCCCCTGTGCAGGGCACGAGCCGCCTCGAGTTGCTGCGCCTCCATGTCGGTGAGCAGGGCATGAACGTGGCGCCACTGCCTTAAAAATATAGGCTTCTGGTTGGGATGTTCCCCCCTTGTACTAACAGTCCTGTATAGGGATTCTCATAGGGGGGTACGATAGTCCCCATAAAGGGCTGTTAGTATAAGGGGGAACATCCCAAAACATCTGGTGTGGGGGGTTCAACTTGTCTTGAGGCTGCTGGAGTTCAAGAGTTGGGCAGGGGGGAGGAGACGTTGAGGGAGGGCAGCTGCTTCTTCCTGTCTTTCTTGGGGTCCTAGAGACTTTGGGAGCTGGCGAGCGCACACAATGGGGTGTCGATCACAACATCCGAATGCCATGAATGACACCCGGGTATGCTTGCTTTTTGTTTCTACCTGACCATCTGTTGATGGGGGGGGGGGGGGGCATAAAACCCCTGAAGCTTCCTGAAGTCTCTGGCCCCGTCTCCGAAGCTTTAGCATAGGTCGGAAGCATCTTCTCTCAAAAAACAAACGGCACGTGGCCTTGGGTTTCTTCATTGAGCGTGTTATCGTTGAGCTCCGGGCGTGGGGATGCAGAGAATATTTGTAACGAAAACATGAATGAAACAAAAAAAACATGAAGAATATACAAATGCATGTACATATATATTTACTTAATATTCTGAGGCCAACATGATAAATTGCAGAGGTTCAGGCCTGCTACCCGTGCACTTAATCGATATCGTGACCCACTTATCACGCGAGAACTCCAAAGCGAGAAACTACATGGTAGACATGTTTGGATTGTTCAGGAAGACGAGTCTAGCCCATACGCACAGGTATCTGCATGAGTAGGCCACATTCTGGTGCATATGCTGGGTCCCACTGTAGCAAATGGAGAGGCTCACTAGCTCAAACCTGTTGTGGTATACAGGGAGGTCAAGCCAGAGCCGTTTCCACCAGACAGCAGAGGCTGTAGTCCTACTGCTGGCGAAGCCCCGCCAGTCATTCCAAGCCTCTGTATACATTTCGCCAAGCAACAGGCACTTGCCGCATGCGGTGATGAGAGCGTTGTAAGTGATCACCTGAGCAGGCTTCTTGCCTTGGTCTTGGCTTACACGGGTGTTTGGACATATCCAAGAACTACTCCTCCAAAGCGAAGCCCGAAGTCGCGAATCTTTGGACTCAATGAGAACCTGGTCTTATGAAAAAGAATATGGCGGTAGCTTTCCAAACCGAACATAGCCGACAGCCCCGAGCCACAGCCCCACAACAGCCCCACAACCTGCATGGGCCTTCGCATGTAGCCAGGCTCAACAAGCCACTGTGCCCCCTCAGCTATGACTCTGCATGTCTACCCTCTGGCAGACCAGGGGCACTACCGTAGAGGCCGACCCCCAGAAGTACCGAGAAGAGCGCCAAAGCGCGCTGCCATTGCCAGCCTCGGCGTGGAGAGAGAAGAACTACGTCACAAAGTCGTGCGTGCATGCATGCGTGCATTTTCCCGACACACACATATTGGATCCTGACAGTTAAACTTCCACCTATACCTTACACACATACACACTTACATACACTTGCACACACTTACACTCTAACACGCTGACACACCAGAGACTCTTTCACACTTGGAGGAGGTCCCTTGAGCCGTTGGAGCCTCAGGCTCTCACAGGGCTTTAGATGGGATGTGCTTCGTCGCGAACGCACCGCGCGCTATGAAACTGGAATGGGAACTGGAAGGAGATCAAAAGTCACTTTCCCCTCGACACTCTCCGCAACTGTAAGCCTCAACAGATCAGCACAAATCAGCAAAGGAAGCTGATCACTGGAAGGCTTTCAGAACACCAACAACAGACAGCATAAGCACGAAGCTTCCTAACGCACACTAACACTGAATGAAACCCTGGCCGCAAGTGACTCAGCAGGAGAACATCCGTTCAAGTGCCGGCCCAGGGGCTCTTCTCGCAGGCGCTTATTGCTGCATTGTACGTGATGGCCTCGTGCAGAGCTTTGCGCGCAGCTTCGTGCAGCGATGGCAGCTTTGCTCTTGTGGGACAGCTTTGTGCGCAGCCAAGGAGCCGGAACAATCGGAACAACATGAGATGTCTGAACAACTCCTTTAGGGCTTAGGGTTTAGGGTTTCGGGTTTAGGGTTTAGGATTTAGGGTTCAGGGCTTGGGGTTTCGGGTTTAGCCGGGATCTTAGAACCTACTACTTCAGCGCTGCAGGATGCCTGCACCTGAAGACCGCTCTCCCGAATCTCCTCTGGTGGAGGTTTGATCAAGGAGCTTCAAGTGCACACCTAGACGGGCGTGACAGGTGCATGTCGTAAATGAGCCGATTAGACTGCTTGCAGTTCTGGGGGACACGCGTCCAGCATAACTTGCTAAGCAGATGTTGTAGTTTAACTTCTGCCATCTTGGCGCACTTGAGCCTCTCCTGAAAACTTATGTTAACTGCATTGACCTCAGCCTTATGCAGTCCTGTAGCAATGCCAGCGCCCTCTCCCACTGCTTGCCCTTCTCGCCTTGGTTGTTGACGTGACAAATCTCTGATCTCTCCATTCGAGTCTCGTATCTGTTGGTAAGCGAGTCGGACAGTAGTTTAGCTCTCGAGCGAAGCGGGAGCATGCCCACAGACGATCAAAAATGTCTCTAGCAACTGATGTTGGTTGCTTCAGAATTTTAAGCACATCCGAGCAGAAGAGCGTGCAGCACTGCTTCAGCGAAGATTCACGCACTGATGGCTGCGCTCAGGGTGAACTC